ACCTTTTGGGATGAGCACTGGGTGTTGTATGGAAACCAATTTGACAATAAATTTCATATATAAATAAAAAAAAAAAGAAAAAAAAAAGAATTTTGGGTTATCCTTTGACAACTAAAAATAAGGCAAAGTCTTTGAAAATGGCCTTTTTACTCCTCATTCTATTCCATACTCAGTGGCTACTGTTTGCATAGAGTGCAAGGATATGGGTTATGCATACTATACTAAAGGGACTCCTTAACATTTACTTATAAACTTAACATATCATCAGAAATATCAGAAGGAATTGCCCATAGTTGGTGAGGTTAAATGCCGCTCCAGTCATTTTATCTTTGGTTCATCTGTTTTTTTCTTTCAGAAAAAAGTAGCAGATCATCCAAACCGGACTCCATCTATATGGCTAGCAATGTACAGAGCATTTGGGCGACCAATTCTGCTTAGTAGCACATTCCGTTATCTTGCAGATTTACTGGGTTTTGCTGGACCTCTCTGTATTTCTGGAATAGTTCAGCGTGTGAATGAAACCCAGAATGGGACAAATAACACAACAGGAGTAAGTCTGTGGTGCTTTTGAAGGGGAACATATTATTGGCAGATTTTATTGTAATTGTTACTTTTTATTAATGCAGTTCTATGAACAGTTCTTACAGTCTTATTTACAGAGAATTGAATGCATTTAAAACAAAGAAAACAATTTTCCTTGTAGAGAAAATCATGTATTTATGTATTCATTGAATGGATCTGTTCAACAAAATTATTTCTCAGATTCAGAGCCTACAGGCATTTGATAAGTATCTACTGTGTGCCAGAAGCCATGCTCAGGAATTTCACGTTGATTATTTTCTTTGATCTTTTTAGCAACCCTTAGAAGAATTTTCATGCATGAGTACATGAGGGATGGCTGAGTCATTTTTTTAGAGGCCTGTGACCAATCATGTTAGCAATGTGATTTGTACTATATACATATTTCTGTTCTTATATGATAAACACCATCACCTTGATTCACAATGATAAGGGCAAGTCGCATTATGATATTTTCATTAGATATTATGCTAATATTTGTGGGGCTATATGGTATAAGATATTATATATTTGCTGTTGTAAATATAGTCTTTTATTTTCTGTTCTTAAGAAAATCTCATCATGAACTTCCTAGTTTCTTTCTAAGATAAGAATTGATTTCCCTAGTTTCACAGATAGAAAAATCTAGTCTAGATGAATCAATTTTCCTTTTCTATTCTCTCAATCTGATTTCCTGTCCTTTTTTCTTCACCTATTAAAATTTCATGCATTTTTCAAAGCCTACATCAAATTCCATCTCTTCAGTGAAGCTTTTCTGATTGTTCTGGTTGGAATTTGACTCTCGTTCATACTCTCCAACACATTGTTGATTTCACCTTGGCACTTGCTGTAAATGCTATTTATAAGGAAGCATGTTATTTATGGATACGCTTATCTCTCTGGGTGGTAAGCTCTTTAAACAGAATGACTGTGAACTGTTCATATCTGTGTTCACAATGTGTAGCCCATTTGCTTGCATATAGTAGTGTTCAGTTATTTTGAAATGAACCAGATATTTTCACCATTGAATGCACTTTTGTGAAGTTTTGTCTCTACTAGCCTCATTGCATTCCATAAGTTCCACATATAATTTTTCTATCATCCCTCTCCCTTACACATATTAATCACACATTTTTCTGAGAAGGAAGAACTTACACATTTGTATGTATACCCATGAAAGAAAAGGAAGGGACCAGGAGTAGAATTTAATGGATCTAACCCACAAAAGTATTGCCCAAACTGACATGATGTCCTTATTTGAGTGTTACCTTTCTCTCACTTCTAACCAAGTTACCACATAGTATTGTTCCAAACAAAAAGCAATCAGTTTTGTATATCCTTATGATGACTTCAGTCATATTCCTACTGAAACAATTTTATAAATTGTGTTTTGTCATTGGAAGTGTCAACATGGGTGAAATCAATACCCAAATTACATTTATCATTTATCATTTAATATAAATTATGTGAATATTAGACTAAGTCAAATAAATTACAGTCTAAATTAACTTTGATCTTCAATTACTACTTCTCAAGACTAAATATATCTTTTCCGAAAATGTACGTACATTTTTAAATCAAAATTTACCTTTTTACTACAATCAGGCATTTCCAGCAATCTTAATGATAAATTTGGGATTTTATGCATTGAACTAGTTTGAATTTGTATCTGTGGACATGATGAAGAAAAACCAAAATTACCTTGGCTCATTCCACTGCTGCATTATAAAGACATTGAGTTTTTATATTTAAGAATTATGTATCGTTTGATAAATGTGATCTGTACACCTGGTATATGAAAAGACCAGTTCTAATTTATGTCTTTTTCTTTTGGGACAAGATTTCAGAAACCCTTTCATCAAAGGAATTTCTTGAAAATGCTTATGTACTAGCAGTTCTTCTTTTCTTGGCCCTTATTCTGCAAAGGACATTTTTGCAGGCTTCCTACTATGTAACCATAGAGACTGGCATTAACCTCCGTGGAGCTCTGCTGGTATGTACAAGCTTTGAATGATCTTTGTTTCTTGAAAATGCCATATGCCATTCAATGACAGGAAGGGTAGGGGTCTCAGTTTTGTTTCTCTTTCTGTTTGACTTTGACACTGCAACTTCAACACTTCTAGGAGCTATTTGATAAAAGAAACAGAACTAATTAGTAGACCCACAGAATTTTAAAAAGTTTTGTATTAATATATATTAAGAAAGCTTTTGAAATCTTTCATTTGATGATCTCTGTTTCAATATGTTTAAAGTCAAATATATGTTTTGATCATATGGCCAGTTAGGTTTGTGTTTAGCTAAAGACTGAAAGTAACTATGCTAAAATGAAAATAGTGGTTGACTGAAGAAGATGTCATTACAGGGATTTTTTTTCCAAAAATTTTTTTAAAATGTAATATTTTCAATGGAAGTAAATAAGCATAATGTTGATTAAGTTTAGAGCTTCAAATACACTTTTTTTTTTTGCAGGCCATGATATACAATAAAATTCTTAGGCTGTCTACATCTAATTTATCCATGGGTGAGATGACCCTGGGACAGATCAATAACTTGGTTGCCATTGAAACCAATCAACTCATGTGGTTCTTGTTCCTGTGTCCCAATCTATGGGCAATGCCTGTTCAGGTAAATCAATATAAGTAATATTCTCATTTGCAGAGGAAACAAAACAAAAGGAGTATGAAATATTTAGCTCAGTAAAAGGTAACTTTTTGAACTTGCTAATGTTATTATGCTTTTTTTTGGGAGAGATAGAGAGGGGAGAGGAAGAGAGAGAATCTTAAGCAGGTTCCACACCCACATGGCACCTGACATGGGGCCTTATCTCATGACTGTGAGATCATGACCTGAGTTGAAATCAAGAGTCAAATGTTTAGGGGCACCTGGGTGGCTCGGTTGGTTAAGCATCCAGCTCCAGCTCAGGTCATGATCTCGCCGTTCATGAGTTTGAGTCCCACATTGGGCTCTGTGCTAACAGCTCAGAGCCTGGAGCCTCCTTCGGATTCTGTCTCTCTCTCTCTCTCTGTCTCTGTCTCTCTCTCTGCCCCTCCCCCACTCACACTCTGTATCTCTCTCAAAAATAAACATTAAAAAAATTATTAAAAAGTCAGATGTTTAACCAACTGAGTCAACCAGGTGCCCCCTATACCCTTTTTGTAGAGAAGAAAACTGAGACTCAGAAATGCTCTGACAGGTTAAGAAAGTGGGGTTTGAAATTCTCCTGCTTAGGTTCAAATGTCTGCTCTACCCTGTTTGCACAAGTGTTTAAATCCTCAAAATATTAGTTTCCTTAGCTTTAAAATTGGAATGATAACTGTATCTGCCTTGTAGAATTGTTGGCATCATCAAGACTAAATAAGTTAGTATGTGTAGCACATTTAGCACAGTGCCTAGTACTTCATGGACATTTAGTAATTGTTAGTTGTTATCATTGTTGACCAAATCCATGCAAGTCATGGAGCCAAGTCTTGACCCCTTTTATTTTGACAGACTCTCTTGTAGCATTTCTAAAGTAAAACAGTTGTAATCCATCCCATTGTTTCAATAGCTGATGTATTATACAATGCCAAATTTTATAAGGTGGTAGGAACACTAACAAGCTGGAGGGCTATTTAGCTATTTTTTTAATGGAAAATAGTATTTTAGGAAAGATGCATTTTCCCCCTAATTGGGTCAAAATAGCAAAAGATATGTTTTTAGCTCTTTCCTCTGTGTGATGCTGAATATGTTTACCTTGAGTTTTGCATCCTGTAGATGGAGCTTAAACTGTAGGTCTTATTTTTTTAAGTTTATTTATTTTGAAAGAGAGAGAGCAGGGGAGGGGCAGAGAGAGAGGGAGAGAGAGAGAATCCAAAGCAGGCTCTGTGTTGTCAGTGCCGAGTTCAATGCAGGGCTAAAAATCACAAACCATGAGATCATGACCTGGGCCAAAATCAAGAATCAGATGCTTAACCGACTGAGCCACCCAGGTGCCCCAACTGTAGATCTTATTTGATCCAGTCTGTCACTTATGTCCCTGTGTACCATGTTTATTAAAATGCATGCAATAATAAAGAAGATATGCTAGTTTTTAAATGTATTGTTTGCCTTTTTAGTTTTATCTTTAAAAAATTGTTTTTTGTGAATGCTTATTTATTTTTGAGAGAGAACAAGCATGAGCAGGGGAGGGGCAGGGAGAGGGAGACAGAGGATCCAAAACAGGCTCTGCACTGTGAGCACAGAGCTCCATGTGGGGCTCAAACCCATGAACCCTGAGATCATGACCTGAGCCGAAATCAAGAGTTGGCCACTAAAGTGACTGAGCCACACAAGCACCCCACCTTTTTAGTTCTAAATGGAAATCCAAATCAAACAAAAGTGTGTATCATGTGCAGTGCTTGACACAAAGTAGGATATAAAGTCTGCTCGGTCTCATTTTATCAAAATGTACTTATATACAAGTCAAGTAAGTAGCCTCCTATGTGGTACAATTTAAAGGCTGCCTCTGAATGATTGCATCATGAGTGACGTTAAGGAAACTTTCATTTTGATTGGAATTCATAAAAAGCCTAATTGGTTAGGCAGTAAATATGTGCGCTTGCCTCCAAACGGCCACTATTAAGCTGTTACCATTGGCATACACTCAAAAGTTAAATGCTTTAACTGCATGAATATAGTTCATTAGTTGACATTTTTAGCCATGATAATCTGAGCTATTGTGGGGGAAAAGCAAAAAGAGAAGATTGAAGGGTCAAATGCTAAATTTTAAAGGAAGAAGAAGAAGAAGAAAGTAACAAACCTGAGAGGGTTGGCTTACGTGGGTCAGCCCTGGCTTTTCGGAAATATTTTTTTTTAATTTTTTTAAAGTTTACTTATTTATTTTGAGAGAGACAGAGACAGTGCATGCAGGGGAGGGACAGGGAGAGAAGGAGAGAGAGAATCCCAAGCAGACTCTGCACTGCCAGCTCAGAGCCCAATGTGGGGTTCAAACCCACGAAACCCTGAGATCATGACCTTAGCTGAAACCAAGAGTGTGTCGCTTACGCAACTGAGCCACCCAGGCGCCCAAGGGAAATAAATTTTAAAAGGGAAGTGAGGTATGATGGGGTGCCACCTTTAGCTTCTCCACAGTTTTAGTTGAGCCTAGGTTTCATGTCATCAAGTGACTTCTGGGATCATTGAGGATGTGAGGAGTTCAGATTATTCCTTTAGTCTGCAAACAACCATCCAGTATTCACATTATGATGTCACCTCCTGCTTTCCATCCTTCTCACCTGGAAAAGTTGGTACGTAACATTTTCAAGAAACATTTCATGTCCTTTTAAAAATGTGAAGACTGGGGCGCCTGGGTGGCGCAGTCGGTTAAGCGTCCAACTTCAGCCAGGTCACGATCTCGCAGTCCGTGAGTTCGAGCCCCGCGTCAGGCTCTGGGCTGATGGCTCAGAGCCTGGAGCCTGTTTCCGATTCTGTGTCTCCCTCTCTCTCTGCCCCTCCCCCGTTCATGCTCTGTCTCTCTCTGTCCCAAAAATAAATAAACGTTGAAAAAAATAAATAAATAAATAAATAAAAATGTGAAGACTGCCTTCAAAGGTCGGAAGCATCACAGGACCAGTCTGTAGCTTCATGCAGCAAATTGGTTTGACACCAGTTGCACAGAACCTCATCCTAACAACAAATTCTGACTCCTTAGCTTTCCCCAAATAAATCATAGTAAAACCTAGCTGTTCATAGTTGAGTTGACTTCCACGTATATGTATTAGTTAATTAATTAAGAATTAAGAAATCCTATGCTTTCACCAAAATGTATTGCCTTTCATGCTGCAGTGGCCATGCCCCTGTTCATATTCCCTTTTCCATATGTTTTCCTTTCTAGATCATAATGGGAGTGATTCTGCTCTATAATTTACTTGGATCAAGCGCATTGGTTGGGGCAGCTGTCATTGTGCTTCTGGCACCCATTCAGTACTTCATCGCAACAAAATTGGCAGAGGCTCAGAAGAGCACTCTTGTAAGTTAACATCTTTTGGAAACTTTACTAGGAAAATCTAGTAAGCTGTCTCATTTTCAAAATAATAGGAGATTAATACATGCCACTCAGAATAATTTGGAAATTATTATGTTTCATTTCAATTCTTAGGCAGCAAATGTGTATTATATTTTTATTTTAAGTATTTATGTTTAAAACACTTTTCTTTTAAATGTTTATATTTATTTGAGAGAGAAAGAGAGAGAGAGGGAGAGCACGAGTGGGGGAGGGGAATAGAGAGACAGGGAGACAGAATCTGAAGCAAGCTCTGTACTGTCAGTGCAAAGTCAGGGGCAGGGCTCAAACCCACGAACCATGAGATCATGAACTGAGCCAAAGTCAGACACTTACCCAGCTGAGCCACCCCGGTGCCCCGCAAGTGCACTTTTTAAAAGTGGATTTGAAATGTATGACTTGATGATCTTAAACTCAAAATGCCAGAATCACAATTCCTGATGGTTTTAAGTGCCATGAGGTGATGAGGCTTTGAACTTCTTCTAGATCATTGGTCTAGAGAATGTATCTACATCCATTTTGAACCCCCTGCATGTTAATTATTGACATGGGAGAATTGGATCAAAGAATAAATAAAGCATCAGGTTTATTGCTTCTGAAGTGAAATATCCCTAGAATTGAAGCAAACCACGTGATGATCTACAGAGTTACACTAAAGTATTTCAGGCAGCTGCTCTGGCCGAGTATGCTCATGGTCAACTTGGCAAGCAAGAAAAAGCCCAATTATTGACCCCTTCTGGCTTCAGTTTTCCATGAAATCATTTCATTTGAGCAAGAATTGGCTTCTTTTAAAGAAATATTTGTAAATAATAAAATTGTTGACAGCATGTTCAGAAGTAAAGTTTGATTAAATATGAGCAAGGCTGCCTGTAAATCAGGCATAAAATATAGGGATGCTGCCACTGATGGAATTGTTGCCCAAGTTGGTTTCTACTGTGACAAGCAAGTTGCATGTCATGCAGGTGGTTTTCATCACCGTTTTTCTGCTGCTTCTGGTGACGTTACTCATTATTTCCGTCTGAGCCATCTACCCGTCTTTACTTTAGGACATGAATACAGAGAAGTGAGGAAGAGGAGCACAAAGTGAAGACAGGACTTTCCTCAAACATCTGTCTTTCATTTAGCTGGTCATACTGTACTCATTTACTCATGTAACAATCATATGATAGGCATCTAAGACCCTGTAGAGACCAGAAGGTGAATAAAAACCAAGCCATTTGCTACTTTTGCTCCCTCCTATCTGCCTTTTGGCCACTTGCACTGCTCCTTTTGATATTTCATAGGTCATAATGTACCTTACTAGAAATTCTAGTATTTGGTGGTGGTGGAAATTGCAATGGTTGAGTAAATTGTGGCTCTTGTAACTGCTAAAAATCTCTTTACACTCAACCCAAACTGTTAGTAATCAGTAAATCTAATTTTGGCCTTAAACAAGAGCTTATGAAGAAGTATGTGGAAATCTCTCAAAGTTAAAGGGAATAGCCTTGGTTTCACAAAGTGTATTATGAAGACACAATGTGAACACACACAGTGTGAGCATACACAACCCTGACATTCCCAAATAAGAAGCAAACTAACTTTTCTTACATTCATTGTTTTCTCTTCTTCTAAGTATGAGTGATAGTGCTGAAAAGAAAATAAAACAAGTTTGATGTTAGAAGGAAGCATTGGAAGTCTCTGTATCATTTCCATAAATGTTTATAATTACTATCTGCAGACATTATTCAAGGAAATCACGTGAGACTTAAGAAACTGCTTTTATTTAACTCAAAGTAACAGGAGCGTGAGAGGTTTCAGGTGGAAAGAAATTGGAAGCCATTTCATTCAACTCTTCATTTTACACCCGGAGGTGGAAGCACAGAGGATTTGACCCCTTCTCCAGGGGATCTCAAAGCCATAATCAGTGGCAGAGCCAGGCAGAAATCAAGATCTGGTCCATCCCTGTCTGTTATATATATGGTCCTGCCTGTTTGAGTCACTTGGATGCAGCGTGCATTATTGTCTATTTCTTTGTTTTATAGGATTATTCTACTGAGAGACTGAAGAAAACAAACGAAATATTGAAAGGCATCAAACTTCTAAAGTTGTATGCCTGGGAGCACATCTTTTGTAAAAGTGTAGAAGAAACAAGAATGAAAGAACTATCCAGTCTCAAAACCTTTGCACTTTATACATCACTCTCCAGTAAGTTGCCATGGCGAGAAGGACCACCAAAAAACATGTGGTCTATTCAGCTTAGGTGGTGATCACTGAGACATTCTACTCATCAGAAGAAGCCCATTTATTTTCCACATGTGTGCTGTTCAATAGGCCACTAGCCACATGAGTCTATTTAAATTTAAAGAACAGAGTTAGTATAGGCTTAGAGTCAGGTAGACCTAAATTTGATTCGTTATAAGATGTGTGTTTTTGTCATATTACTTTACATCTGAAATTCTTGTTTTTTTTTTCATCTGTAAAATGGGATGGGATGAGTACAGTACCTGTTATTGAAATCATCACCATTTACAGTTGGGATGAATAGGTTTCCAGTAAAAAGTTATTTATTTAAGTTGATTTAACTGTATTATTATTGACCTTCTTATCCCCAAAGATCCTCAAAAATTATCTGCAGTTGTCTTACCTATATCTCTGGAAGCTTATGATATTATATTTTCTTGAAAATTATACTTAGAATGCTATTTTTGAAAATCGACGAAAAAAATGTCAATGCTTCCAAGTAGAAGAAGCCAAATTACATTCATATAAAACCCTCTTTTCCAATACATTTTCAAGAACTTTTAAACATGGAGCATTTTTATCTTCAACTCTAATTTTTATAAAGCAATCATTTAAAAAATTGTTTTTTTTCCCCCAGAGTGACACTGAGTACTCTCAAGAATAATTACGTTTATGTTAGTACATTTCTTACAAATTTAGCTGAACTACTACCACCAACATTTGATTTGGTTTATGTGTCAGTTTTGCTTATCTCTATTGTTCCCAAGACCTTGAACAAATTAAAGTTTTGGAGATTTATACATTGTTTCCTCTCAAATTCTAAACTAACTTCGTTCTTAGACATTACAAATACTTCTTTTGTGAAATAAATTTAGAGAAAATATTTGGTTTATATAGCTCATTTATTCTAGCCCTAATGCCTGATGCATTAGAAATGAAATGGGAAGGAGATTTATCTTCCAGCTCTGCACCACTGCTAATATGGTGTCAAAATACTAGAAGATGAAATGATTGATATCCACTTGTTTATATAATAGTACTCAAAGCTGCTGACCCTGACAATACATTCCTTTTTGCAATAGACTGAAATACTCATGAGAAGGATGGCTGCAGCCAAAAATAATGACAATAATAAAAATACATTGAGATAGCCAGCCAATTATTGGCATAAGTGGCTTTATACATATCATCCCATTTAATCCTCCCAACATTCCAATAATTTAGATTCCACTGTTAACTCTGTTTTATATATTAAAAGATGGAAGTGGAGAGAGTTTAAGTAACCTGAAATTCTCTTACATCATGTACCTACTAAATGGCAGAGTTGGGTTGTTAATCCAGTTTGCCTGTCTCCAGACATGAGATTTGGGTTGTTTTTTGAATGCCAGATACAAAAGGAGAGGACGGAAGAGGCCATCACAGGGGAGAAAAACAACAGATCATGAAAGTAAAAATGCAGAAGCATGTGTATATTATAGGCGGCAGGAATTCTTGAGTCAATGGTGTAAAATTCCAGTTGAACCATTTTTAAGTTTTTTTTAAGTTTATTTATTTTGAGAGAGACAGAGAGAGCACAAGTGGGAGGGGGCAGAGAGAGAGAATATTCCAAGCAGATTCCATGCTGTTAACCAGAGCCTGACATGGGGCTCAAACTCACAAACTGTGAGATCATGACCTGAGCTGAAACCAAGAGACAGGTGCTTAACCGACTGAGCTACAGGCACCCCCAAGTTTTATGATATGGTTAAATACAGTATTCTTGGTGATTAGGAGCTTGAACTATGGTTGATGCATAGAACTGGCTATATATCTCAACTCTGCCGTTTCATAGCAGTATGACTTTGACCAAGTTAGTTATGTCTTCCAAGCCTCAATATTTTTCATCTGGACAGTGAGATGATAATAATACCTACCATGTAGGACTGTAGTAAAGATTAAAATAATGAATGCTGTACATGTTGACTGAGTTGTTGATTCTATTCCAGGCACGAGGTCAAGTGCTTCATACTCATTACCTCATACCAAGCACCTGGCAAATGGTCTGGTGCTCACCAACCTCCATCCCTCAGTTTCCTCATCTAAAAATTGGTGTAGGAGCACTTGGTGTCTCAGTCTGTTAAGTGTCCGACTTCAGCTCAGGTCATGATCTCACTGATTAGTGGGTTCGAGCCCCACATTGGGCTCTGTGCTGACAGCTCAGAGCCTGCTTTAGATTCTGTGTTTCCCTCTGTCTCTGCCCTAACCCCACTCGCACTCTGTCTGTCTGTCTCTCTTTCTTAAAAATAAACATTAAAAAAATTTTTTAAAATGGTGTAATAATAATAAATCCTTGGGGTGCCTGGGTGGCTCAGTCAGTTGAGCGTCCGACTTCAGCTCAGGTCATGATCTCACGGTCCGTGAGTTTGAGCCCCGCGTCGGGCTCTGTGCTGACAGCTCAGAGCCTAGAGCCTGCTTTGGATTCTGTGTCTCCCTCTCTCTCTGCCCCTCCCTTGCTCATGCTCTGTCTCTCTCTGTCTCAAAAATAAATAAAACTATTTAAAAAATAATAATAATAATAATAAATCCTTATCATGGGTATATTGTGAGAATCAAATGAGGCAGTGAATGTGACACTGTTCAGTAACTGTTAAAAACATTTTATAAATAGTACTTGTAGAGCATCGTAAGAAGACAAAAATAATGAAAGAAGGAAGTCAACTGTCTAACAAAGTGGTTACTGTTGGGTCTTACAGGGCAAACTGACCTGAAATGAAAGACTGCCTCAGCAACTTGGCAGCTCTACAGCCTTGGTCAGTCTTTGGTAAAAATTTCAGTTTTCTCATCAAGAAGCTGGGAAGTATTAAGAGTATCTTGGGGAATTAAATAAGATAATGTGGATAAAGTGTTTAGAACAGTACCTGAAACATAAAAGTGCTCAATCAGTGGTATCTGAAAATATTGAAAAGCAGTTAAACAGGACACTCACTAGTAGAACAGAAGATCCAGCTTTTGTGAATCAGTGTTCTTGCCAGTCGAGATAATATCTGAAGGGAAGAGAGATTCTATTAGTTTCCCAGTCTCCATTGCCAAATGGTCATGTGCTATTTATGGATTTAATCCATTGGTAAAAGGTGAAAAGACAGTATTAAATTTTTTTCTCTTTAATAGATCTGAGTTTAAATCCAAGCTCTATCACCTCCTAGTTTGGAATCTTGCATGTTACTCACCTAAGTAACACCCTAAGCACCTAAGCTGCTTTCTTATTATTGTGTGTGGTAGTTGTAATCATTAAATATGAGAACTATGTAAAGCACTCTTTTATCATACCTCAATGATGGTGACTTGTCAGCAGCAGAGCAAGGTGGTGGCAAGCAGTCTTCATTGGTTTGAATCCCTACTGTGTGACCTGGAGCTTCTCATTCTCATCTTTGTAATGGCATTGGAAGGGTACCTGCTACATGTACCCGGTGCAGATTGCTGTATAAATGTTTTTTTCAATCAAATAGCAGTTGTTCTTGCTCTTCCTCATTAAGGGGGGATTACTTATTCAAAGATGCGGACTGTAAAATGAATTATAAACAATGATGAGGGGAAAAGAAAGAAATACACTTAGAGAACAGGGTGACAGTAGCCTGAGAAACAAGATGGAGGCAGAAATGTGGCTCGTCATCTTTGCTGTTATAAAACTCAGAGCAGTGTTTGGATTCCCAGTATTATACAAGAATTTGGATTTGATAAGCAAGCCACATCTGGACCTGCAAAATCACAATCTGATTCTGTGTTCAGCGGTCAGGGTAGTTCATGAGAGTGGATCATGAGGACTGATGATGATTTATTTGTGGGTAGATTCTGTCCTGCATGTCAAGAAAACTAGGTTCTAGCTCTCACTCTGTTAGTAATTCACTTAATCTTTTAGCCCCCAGCCCCTAAACTTCTATGGTTTATAAAAAATATAACTACAAATTATCAATTTGACTTTGTAATTTTACTGTGACCTCCAAATACTAGTATTTTAGCCTAAATTATAAGTTTTTGTTTCAGTTATGCGTATCCTGTGTATCAAGTATTAGTGCAATATGTTTCTGGAGAGACAAACTAGCAGAGGGTTCAGGATATGGAGTTGTTTTGTTAAGCAAAAGGTCTATACGTGAAAATAAATATCACTTTTGGAGGCAGAATGTGAAGTGATGTCAAATTCTTTTTTTTTATCAGTGTAATAGCTTAATTTTCATACATTTAAGTTAGTTTAGTGGACCATGTGAAATACGGACAGAGAATACCTCTATAATGCACATTTGTTAAAGTCTAATAATTTTCACCACTAAAGGAGCATTTTATCTGAATTTTGCGGCTTATAACATTTTATTAAAAACAGCTTTTCAGTAATAGAAGATATTTTCTGATTAAGACTCATGTGGGGGGAGCTCATACACCTGCAAACAAGGAAATACCAACTGGGAAACGTTTGTGGACTCCAGACAAAATGCACTTGGTCCTCTCTGTCTTCAAGGGAAGTTAAAGTAATAATAGATGATGCATTAAAGTTACTGAAAATGTTTCATAGTTGAACGAACCTAATATATTCGATTTCTCTCCACAGTCTTCATGAACGCAGCAATCCCCATAGCAGCTGTTCTTGCTGTAAGAAACTTTCTCTTGCTTTTGAACATGGAACAGAGTCAGTGTTTAGAAATGATTCATGAGCAGGAATGTGTGGGTGGTAATATATATTACTTCACCTCTGCCAGTTTTCTCTTTACAGTCCCCATCGTAATAGTTCTAATCCAGGGTTTCTCAACTGTGACACTATGAACTTTTTGGCCCAGATAAGTCTTTGTTGTTAGGGCCTTTCCTCTGCCTGAGGATGGGTAGCAGCATCCCTGGCTTCTACCAGTTAGAGACCATTAACACTCCCTAGACATTGCCAAATGTGCCCTGGTGAGCAAAATTAACAGTAGTTGAGACCTAAACTGTTCTAATCTCCACAACCTGGTTCCCAGACATTCTTACATCAGAATCATGCTACATCAACAACCAGAAGATTACATTATATTTCAGACTAAAAGGACAAACCTGGGAACTCGTATTTTATTTAGAAATGTAAATACATCTGCATCAAACACTAATGTTGGCAATTTTAGTAAAGATACACAATAGGGACCCTAAAGCAATGGAATATCTTAGTTTGCTCTTAGAAAATTTAGTATTGCTTGGAAAGAACCTGACTGGTTGTTAAGAACCCTAGGTTCACTTCACAGTTACTCCCCCTACTCAGTAATTTGACAGAGTCAGTTTCCTAATCTATAAATAGAATCTATTCTGCCTTTCTCATAAGTTTCTTGCTAAGATGGCATGTAAACCATTATGTACTCTACCAATAACAAGTATTATTTTTCCTCAGGAGTAATTTGGATAAAGCAATTGTTTTCATATTTTCAGTGGACATATTGGGGTAGCAGAATATGTTAGGTTTCTAAAATTGAATGTAAGCATTTGTGAAACTTTCTCCAACTTTCTCTAAAGAACTTCTTTCTTTGCACAGACGTTTGTTACCCACGCGTATGCTAGCGGGAACAATCTAAAACCTGCAGAGGCCTTTGCTTCACTGTCTCTCTTTCATATCCTGGTCACCCCACTGTTCCTGCTCTCTACAGTGGTCAGATTTGCAGTCAAAGCCATCATAAGGTATGCACTGGAATGTCTGGAGTTCTTTGCCTGATTATGGAAATAATATATGCTCATGGTAGTAAATTTGAAAAAGTATAAAGAACAAGATTCAAATCACTGCCCATTGTTAAAATTTTAATATGCTACTTTTCAGTCTTTTACAACTATTTTTAGATGAAAAGAATTATGATTTTAAAGTAAAAATTTTGAATTTATGTAGCTTTTGATTCATTATTTCACTTACTGGTTTTATTTTTTCTCTTCATTAAGATCATGATGTTTATTGGCTCCGCGATAGTCTATTGTTTTGAAGTCCTGTACTCTAATTTATTTAACAATTACTTCCTTATTGGGCATTTGGAATGTTTCTACTTTATACCTAACATAAATAATATAACTAACACTGAGATAAATGTCTGTTTTTCTCTTTAAACTTTTCTCTGATTATTTTCTTAAGACAGATTTCTAGAAGT